TAAAGGTACATGATCCCAACAATGAATGTAACTGTACTGTATCCCTAAATGTACCAATAAACTCAATTAAAAAAAAAAATAATTCTTAAAATAATATATTAATTGAACCCTTTAGTCATGAGAAAAACTTAGAAATTCATGTCAGTATATATATTCTAATATATATTCTACTCCAAGTCACAAACTTGTATTAAATTAAAGTTAATAGAAGTTAGCCAATGGCACCAATTTTTCTATTTGTTTACACAAAGAAATAGTAAAATAAATTTTGCTGCTGCCTATATAAGATTTCCTCTTAGTGCTCAACCGATTAGGAAATTCCCTATATGCTCCTCATTTAAAGTCAGTATGAAGGAAAATAAAATTTTAGCTGGGAAAAATTTTCAAAATCATGTAGTCCAGTCCTATGTATTCAGGAACTTCATATTCAAATTGTATAAAATCCTTCTCTGAAATGATTGTGTAGCTTACTTTTTTAACAATATGCCAATTTTCAAGAGTAGTTAATGTCTGGTATCATCTGTGAATTTAGCATAAGAGTCATTATCACCCAATGTCAAGAAGTAACATGGAATACAAAGACAGATCTAGTATTCAGTGATTAATACATACTGAGTATAACATACCAGGTGTGATGCTAGACATTAGGAATATAATCCTGGGAAAGGAAAGCGTTCTTTCCTCAAGGGGCTTCTCAGTAACAATTCACTTTGTAGAGAACACAATGTAGGACATATTCTGTAGCACACTGATCATATGCCACTGAAAAGTGGCCTCTTGTTTAAATCATTAGCCAGCTAGACAGTACCACTAATCTGAATACTTGAACAAACAGAATGTAATGGGGACTCCATAATGCCCTGTGGCTTCTACACAGAAATCTCAGAGGCTATCAGCTAAATCAGAGCTATCAGAATTTACTACTATGTTGACAATTGTGGGGTATCCAGAGAAAATGTGTGTGTATAAAAACTTTTGAACAGTATACAAAAGAAAATACAATTTTCTGCAATTTACTTTTCTTTCAAAAATGCATCTTTTTTTGGTATCAGGGATCAAACTCAGGACCTTATGTTTGTGAGGTAGATGGCAGCACCACTGAGGTAAATCCCTGGCCCTGAATAATGTATCTCAAAAATTCTTTGTTATCAGTACAGGTAGAGTTGCATCATTCTTCTCAAAGATGGCACACTGTCCCGTTGCATGACATAGTATAATAAATATATCCAATCTTCCATTGACTTGGTTGTTGCCAATAATTTATTATTTACAAACCACTAAAGTTTAATTATGCATACCTGTATAGGTATGCCTACATACTTTTGTGTACATAGTACACGTGTATAACATACATATAAAAATATATATGGTAATTATTTATAACAGTACACACAGATAGATATAGGACATGGGCTTTTAAAATTTTGGTGAAAAGGGAGGCTGAGGTAAAATGATCACTAGAGCTCAGGAGTTCATGGCCAACATTAAGTAACACAGCAAAACCCTGTTTAAAAAACAAATAAATAAACTATGGCTGCATTCCTGGCATACTATCCATTTGTATACAGTCAGTATGTTAGGCGTGTTAATGAGTTTCTAATTTTTATTAATCTACTAATTTGAAAGATTTCTGCATAGTCCTAAGTAGAAAGAGTCGCTTTTTTAAAAAAAACAAAACTATTTTCTCTAATTTCAATACCAATGTTAGACTCATTTCATACAAACAATTTGGAAGGATTCTGTATTTGTATTTAGAACCCTTTTAAACATCTGAAAACCTATGACCATGTAGTTACTTGGTGGAATTACAGAAAAGAAAACATAACTACACTGTATACAAAGTCAACATTTAAAAAAATCCATAGCTTTTTTATACACCAATAATGAACTAGCTAAGAAAAAAATCAGGAAAGTAATTCTGCTTAAAATAGCTTCAAAAATTAAAATAAAATACCTACAAATCAACCTAACAAAAAAAGTAAAAGACCTCAGGGAAATCAAAGAAGACAACAGAGGACAAAAAGGCCTCCTATGTTCATGGATTAGCAGAAATACTATCATTAAAATAGTCATATTACCAAAAGCAATCTACAGATTCAATGCAATCCCCATCAAAATTTCAATGACATGGAAACAACAATCCTAAAATTCATACAACAACACAAAATCCAGAAGAACCAAAGAAATCCTACACAAAAAGAGCAATGGTGGAGATATCATAATATTGATTTCAAATTATACTACAAAGAAATGGCAGCAAAAACAGTATGATCCTGGCATAAAAATAGACAGACAGACTAATGAAGTAGAACAGAAGACACAGAAACAAACTCACACAGTACAACTATCTGATTCTTGACAAAGGACAAACACACATTGGAGAAAATACTGCCTCTTTAACAGATGGTGGGACTTCTGGGAAGATGGCAGAGTAGTGAACAACAGAGAAACTGCCTTATGAGATTTGATGCCCAGATGTTGGAACACAGCAACTTCAGAAAAAGGAGGAGAAAAGTGGATACCCAAGACTAAACAAGATCTGAAGCAAGAAGTAAAGCCCATAAAGAGAGTGAAGAGACAGACTTCAATGAAGAAGAGGGAGAGAGCAAGCCATGCTTTCTCCCTGAGCCCTGGCTGTGTGGGAAGGGTGGTTCAAAAATGCTGATGCACTGCGACTACTGGTGACCACAGAGGCCTCCACAGAGAAATGCATCAATGGAATTGAGCAGTGGATACAGCAAACTGCAATAGCTGGTTATTCGGGTTCACGTGTTGCCTATGAGAGGCTGATTGGCTGGTAGCCATCATGAAGAGGAGCCAACTGTGCTCAGAACTCAGAAGCTGCAGGTTACTCTATCAGGAAGAGGTAGAACTGAGTTCAAGTCCAAATGAGGTCCCTGCCCTCAGGCCCCAATCTGCAGCTAGGGCTGCATGTGCAAGGGAGGGGACAAGGGGGTGGGTGGGAAGGACCTCAGGGAAGGACCAGCCCAGCCATGATCAAGGTGACCCTCATCAACAACCAGGACAAGGCAGCGCTCTCCCAAATTCTACCAGCCTTACAGTGAAGATACACAAGAACAAATCATCAGGGAGACTTTACATTTGGTATCTAAGAGAGATGAAGATGTTTGTAATATCCTAGGAGGATTCTGATAATCAGTCTTAAGCTGTGTAACTTACTGTGACCTGTGGAGTTAAATCTAATTAATTGGAAGATCTGACAACAAACTGATTTATAGACATTATGTATGCAGCACTATATTTTGTCTTCTCTGTGGATTCTTCAGAAAGTGAACTTGCATTTTAGATTTAATCCATGGAAACATTAGACAAATGTTTTGAAAGTGTCTGTGAACTGGATTTAATGTTCCATGTAGACAAGGTTTACCATATTCTTGAGGAAATGGTGATGGTGGGATGGTGTTGGAGACCAATAAGAATGAAATTGTTATACAAATACATGTAGAAAATAAACTGGAGAAATCTGAGGCTGGCTTAGCAGGAACTTCAGCCCGTGCTGTATCAGCTGTAAAGAATAAGAATTTTCCAGAGATCCCAAGAAATATTAACATTGATGGCATCAGTATAAAAGTGCCAAACCTGCCCTCTTAAATAAAATATTAAACAGGCCACTCCCAGGTAAAATCCAGGGGAAAAGTCATCTAAGTTTACCATACAGTTGCTTACCAAAAATAGGGGAGGAGAGTCTTAACTTTTGCTCTTAGATTTAAGTCAAGGTACTATACAGAAGTTGTAAAATCAGTATGATTAGCATCTTTAGAAGAGAAACAGATTAAAAAAAAAAGAGAGATGAGTTCAGGACCATAATGGAAGCCAGAAATGGAAACCATGAATGCCCAACAAAGAAAAGAAATGGAATCCATGAAACAGATTCAAACTGATATCTGGGAGATTAAAAACTCTATTTATTCACAGCAGACTGACCCAATCTGAAGAAAGGCTATCAGATACATAAGACAGGATGGAGATCAGTGCCCATGAAAAGAGAGATCTCTTAAAAATAGTAAGGTACTATGAGAAATCAGTTCAACAGCTCCTAGATGACACAAAGAATAAAATAAGATGGATAGGAGTCCATGAAAAAGCAGGAGAGAGTACAAATGACATTAAAAAACTGTTCACAGAATTTATGATAGAAAAACTTCCCAAACAGAGCAAAGGAATTTGACATACAGATAAGTGAGGCATACTGGACTCCAACTAGTCATGATTTTTAAAAATCTACACCTAGACGTATAATAGTCAAGATCCCAGAAACCCAACAGAAGAAAATACTAGAAGCAGTTAGAGAAAACAAACAAATCACATGAAAAGGAAAGACCATCAGAATCACAGCAGACTTTTCAACACAAACCCTCAAGTCAAGGAAAGCCTGGAATGAGACATTTCAAGTACTAAAAGAAAATAACCTCCAACCTAGACTGATGTATCCTGAAAAACTATCTTTCAAAATTGACGGGGAAATAAGATACTTCCATGACAAAGGACAACTGAAAAACTTCATGAATCAAAAGCAGCACTCCAAACAATTTGTAAAAATATCCTAGAAAAAGACAATGAAGGTCAGAACTCCATGAGGCCCAACAAAACAAATCCAAATATTTCATCAGGCAAGGCGAGAAATTAAATGGAGAGAGGGAAAAATAAAAAAGAGCCAACAACAGGAAAATAACATGACAATGCTAAGTCAATACATATCAGTTATAACCATCAGTGTTAATGGCCTCAACTGACCAATCAAAAGAAACAGAGTGGCAGAAAAAAATCCAACAATACACTGTATACAAGAAACACACCTAGTTAAAAAAGATAGTCATAGACTGAAAGTAAAAGGATGGAAAACAGCTCTCTATGCAATAGGAACCCCCCCAAAAAAAGCAGGGGTAGCTATCTTATCTGGAGACAAAGTAAATTTCAAACCAAAACTAATTAAGACAGACAAAGAAGGTCACTACAGGTTTTTGGAACTGGTTGCTCCCTGGGCGTTAGCGAAGTGTCCTCTCGAGTAAGAAGAGTTAGGATGCCTCTGATGACAAAACAACTGAGAGATCCTGACATAAATCCTTGCTTGTCAGAGACTGATGCTTCTAGCAGATGTATGGCTGAAAATAACTATAACAAGGAAAGGTATTCCAGTTACTTCTTGAAGTACAAAAACTGCCAGAGATTCTGGAATTCTATCATGGTCCAAAGATGACAGAATGGAGTGAAGCCATTTATGCCTATAGCAGCAGAAAGAGCTGAAATCTTGGGAGCAATGGGAAAGATGCCCTATTGAATGTTTGCATTAAAATTTATTATATAACTAGAAGCAGGTGAATATTTTTTCCTAAGTGATTACTGTAATCTTTTAAAGACTTGTCTAGCATCACCCAGACAGATTTTGTGTTTTACAAAGAGACAGAATTCAGTTAGTCAAGTATCTTTGATATTTGCTCTCAGTGCCATCATGAGGATATGTCACTGCCATGTTGTACCTAGAAGGCTAGGGGTATTAGAGGACTATAGGAGTTGACTTTCTCTTCTTTGTCTCAAAAAAGGAAAAATATGGACAAACAGGGCTTAATAGGCTTGACAAGAAGAAATGTTTCTAAGGAAAAAAAATGATGTGAGCATGGGCATGATAGAAAGCATGACACATTTGGAGCATCTAGACTTTTCTACCTAATGTCTAAAGTAAGTGGATCCCAGCATTCTGGGAGCTTAAAGCAGAAGGACTATAAGTTTGAGCTCATCCTGGGAAACTTTAACTTTGTGAGATACTGTCTCAAAATTTACAAAATAAAAAGGCCTGATGTGAGTAAGTGAGAAGGCCCTGGGTTCAATCCTCAGTACCCCTCCTCACCCAAAAAAAGCATGATGTAGAGAAGACTAGAATAGCAAGTTGTAAGTACATGAATGGTAAGTGTCAGTCCCAGCCCTAACATCTTTGTATCCACTTAACTCATTTATCTTTGTTTAAATAGGTTTAATATACTTATCAAGAGGGAAGTAGGTGTGGAAAGCTTGGCCAAAATAATGACATGAAAAAGAATTGGTTCTCTTTAACGAAAGGCTCTTAGGTATAGGATTCTGGACTGAAAATCCACAAATTTTGAGTAGTCTTATGAACCTTTAATTCTTGAACCATGGTAAAGAAAAAAATTCCTTTAAAAGTAAGATTTCTATTTGCAGGATGAAACGGACATGTGAAAGGATATGGTAGCTTAGCAGGTGAATTCAGCATTGGGATGAGGCTAGACTTAACTTCATTTTATAATATAAGAACTACTCAGTGTGGTGAATTGAATCATGTAGCAGCTTTCTTTATAGCCACAGTGTTTTAAAGTCAAGGGTTATTTACACAAGCTTTTTTTTTTCTTTTTTGAAACAGGATCTTACTACATTGTTGAGACTGACCTGAAACTCACTATGTAGCCGAGGCTGGTCTCGAACTCACAGCGATCTTCCTGCCTCAGCCTCCCACCTGCTGGGATTACAGATGTGCACCACCATGCCCGGCTTACACATATTTTGTAAAGAGACATTTTAAAATAAAAGTTAATGTTTTTGTTTTATTTATTTATTTTTTTTTTGGTACTGGGGATTGAACCTGGGTCTTTGCGCTTGCAAGGCAGGCCACCAAACCTCTGAGCTAAATCCCCAGCCCTTAAAAGTTAATGTTTTTAGAAAACCAATGATTTTTTCTCATCACTTGGTTCTGGATTAAGAACATCATTTTAGTGGTTTGTAACAATTAATTGAGACTGAAACCCCAACTCAGAAATTTTTAAGCCACATGACCTTGACTTGTTCTCAGTTTTTAGTACATGTTTGCAGTCGATAATGTTTACATTCCTTGTGTAAAGTTGGTACATGTTCATAACACAGTTCTTTCTTCATCCCCTTTACCTCCATCTTGAAAACTTTCTTCATCCCCTTTCCATTTGAAAACTATCTCCCTACTTCCTATTATTTGTTTATTATTTGTTTTATTTTGCTATTTATATTTTTGGTTTCTCATATAAAAGAAACCATGTGATATGTATGTCTGATTTATTTCACTTAACATTGTGGTTTCAAGGTACATCCATTTTCCTGCAAATGACTCAAATTTATCCTTATGGTAGAGTAGTAACCCACTGTGTATATATACCACATTTTCTCTATCCATTCATGTGTTAATGGACATACAGGCTGTTAACAAGATTTGGCTATTATGAATTATGCTGCTATAAATATGGGTATGCATACATCACTGTAATATGATGTCTTTAATTCTTTTGGGAAGATACCCAGAAGGGCACTAGCTGGATTAAGTAGAATTTCTGCGTTCAGTTGAGTCTTCATAGTGATTTCCATAGTGGTACTAGTTTGCTTCCTCACCAACAGTATAGAAGGGTTCTTTTCCCCTGCAGCCTTGCTAGCATTTATTATTAGCCTTCTTGATGATAGCCATTCCTTGTGGAGTAGGATGAAATTTCAGTGTTATTTTCATTTGCATTTCTCTAATGGTTATCAAGGTTGAACATTTTTTCATGTATTTGTTGGTCACTTTTCCTTCGGAGAAGTGTCTTCATTTCAGTTGCTGATTGTTGAATATGATTCTATTTGAATAAAAGGATTATTTCAAAAATCCCTTTACATTGATGGCTGTAAAATGATGAATTAAAATAAAATAAGATGAAAGGAATTACTACATACTTGTGTGAAAACATTTCAGTACATTTAAGCATGTGTAAGAGTTCAGAATTTTAATGTCATTTCTTTGTATGTATTAGTATCAATATTCACTGCACAGCTATTTGTTCTGATAAAGCTCTTATTTTTCATTTATTTATTTTTACCACTTTTGCTTTTTCTGCTGAGTATTTCAGGTATAGACATGGATGCCTGCCTACCAACAGTGCCCTCCTTCATGCATATTCATGTTTTCCTGGATAGGTATCTTCGAGGTTGAATTCCTAGGTCATGTAGTAACTGTTTAAACTTTTGAGGATCTGACAAAATTTTCCCAAGTGGCTACATTGATTTATAATCCTACCAGCAGTGTATCAGAGTTCCAGTTTGTCCACATCTTTATGAGTACTTGTTAATCTACCTTTGATGATAGCCAAGCCAGTGGTGGATGTGAGGTGCTACCTCCTTGTGGTTTTTCTTTGTATTTCCCTGATGACTGATAATATTTGTTGAGCATCTTTTATGGGCATATTGGCTGCTTGTGTAATTTTGGAGAATGTCTATTCAGATGCTTTGCCTATTTTTATTGGGTCCTCTTATTTATTGAATTGTAAAAATTTTTACACAATAAATACAAGACAGATACACAGTCAACGAAAATTCTCTTCCATTCTGTCAGTTTTATTTTCACTTTATTTTAACTTCTCAGCACAGAAGTTAATTTTGGTGAATGTGAAGTTAAACACTATTAACCTTTTAAATTGAAGACAATGTTAATTCAGAATGAAATACCTATTGCATTTTTTCTTTTGTTGGTTTTGGTGTCATTTCTAAGAAAGTATTACCTAATGTAAGGTTACAAAAGTTTATACCTGTTCTCTTCAAAGAATTTTATGAGTTTTATCTCTCATGTTTAGGTCTTTGATTAATTATGAGTTAATTTTTTACATGTGGCTTTCCAGTTATTGCAGCACTATCTATTGAAAGAGACTGTTCTTTCCCCCACTGAATTGTATTAGTACCTTTGTTATAAATCAGTTGGCTGTACATATCAGAGCTTTTTCCTTTACTTTTAATTTCATTGATTTATATATGTCTATCCTTATCCTAGCACCATACTGTCTTGGTTACTATAGCTTTGCAGCCATGGCATAGCTCTCTGATTGGTTTTTGTGTATATTTTCTGTGAAATGCTTTAATGACAAACTAATTGTTGAGATTTTTCAATCAGTAAACTGTTGACATATGGTTAGGTAATAGTTTCACCCAGGCAAAGCTATTTAATTCCAAATGTTTTCATAATGTCCTCTAATTCCTAGTTCTTCATACTTCCCTTGATAACTTCAGTATACTGTTAATAACCTGATTGTTCAAGGTCTGATTATACTACTTTTGTGGGACAGAGTCTCAAGGGTTTTACTCATCACTACTGCCATATTTGTGACTATTGTATTTCTCTTTACAAGATTCTGATTTTGGAAAAGTGAAGCTAATTAACTTGATAAATCAATTATGTCAGGATATTAGTGGGTGATGTGAGGAATTTTGGCATCAGGAAAACCTTTGTTATTTACCATGAACAAAAACATATGAATTGTTTTACTGTGTTCATGTTTAATTCTTGCAGGAAGTTATCTCATTACAGACACTCAGTGGGATGGTGCACTGTTTCTGTGGTATGTAAAAGCAGTCTTTGATAATCACTATATTTATTTGTAAGTTCCTGGAAGAGATAAACACTATCATTCTTGCTTATATTCATAATGTCTGGCCTGCAGCTAGTACATTATAAATTATCAACAAATGTAAATGTGCGAGGAGTTGGTGGCTTTTAAAATTGAGAAAGTGTGCAGGTTCAAACAATGAAAAAGGGTAGACAGTATACAATAAGTCTGCCCTAAAAGCATTCAATGTTAAGAGCTTTCCAGATCTTCCATGAGTGTATATTTTCTTTGCACCAAAGAAACATTGTAGTATATGAGCTGTGTGGTTGTAGCACTTTTCTTTTTTCTCTTATATAGTTTGGAGTAATTTTTTTTAAACAGTGATTATAGATTTACTCCATTTCTGTCAGGAATTATGTTTTCTATTGTATGGTGTACCATTATTGAACAAATCTATTAATGGGCCTACTAAAAAAGAGTTGCAACAACCACTGAAAAAAAAAAAGGTCACTACATCCTTGTAATAGGAACAATCCAAGATGAAGAGATGACAATCATAAATATATGCACCAAATATTTATGACCCAACTATACAAAACAAATATTAAGAGACGTGAAAAACCAAATAAGGACTACACAACTATAGTGGGGGAACTCAATACCACACTGTCACAAATAGACAGATCATCTAGACAAAAAAATCAACAATAAAATACTAGAACTGAACCTAGCCTTTGAACAAATAGACTTAATAGATGTCTACAGAGTATTCCACCCCACAAAATCAGAATATACATTCTTTTCAGCTGCACATGGGTCATTCTCCAAAATAGACTATATACTAGTTCACAGAAAATATAAGTAAATGCAAAGTAAATGAAGGCACCCCATGTACATTATCAGTTCATAGTACAATTAAACTAG